CACACACACACACACACACACACACACACACACACACACACACACACACACACCTTCATGTCCAATAGAGGTGATGTCCACTCTGAACACGAGCTGCCCGCTCACATGGTCCGTAGGGAGACGCCGACACAGGCTGTAGCTGACTGCCTGATCACTGCACACACACATACATACATACATAGGATTTCAATACTAACGATACATCATCAGAAGTTCCCAGAGACACATAATTCAGGCATACAAGCAATTGTGTGCACCCACTACATATACCTAATATTTCTGAAATATAATATGTATCTAAATGTAAAGAGGGCCTACAAACGGTCCCCCTGTGCACATACTATACATCACAATTCACTAAAGTACATGATGTCCTCAGTCGCTAATCAATATCAGATCAATGTCTGAACAATGAGCTGATTAGGACTCATTGATCGGTATTGACTCAAGTTTGTAGAGTCACTGTGGTTAAGTGTTGAAGGTCACATTACTGCTTTCTGTCTGAGTGCACATTCAAAAAAGCAAGAGGTGCTATGGCTGTGTGTGTGTGTGTGTGTGTGTGTGTGTGTGTGTGTGTGTGTGTGTGTGTGTGTGTGTGTGTGTGTGTGTGTGTGTGTGTGTGTGTGTGTGTGTGTGTGTACTTACTCCAATGCCGGCCCCTCCAGAAGTCTCTGCACAGGGAGGATCAGCTGACCCAGAAAGCGCTTGATGATTGGTCTGCTTTTGGCAAACTTATCCTTCACCTCGATCTCCAACACGTCCGTCATCAGCGCCACAAAGGTGTACTTCTACAGAGATACATTGGATTTAAATGTTATTAATCAGCATTTGTTGGGTTAGTTCCACCTCTGCTTTTGTCCCTTAACTGCTGAAATTGTGGAAGTATTCCCTATTCTGAATATTTGCTACCCTAGGGACACCTCATTGTGCATTCACACTAATTTAAACACTTTCGGATGCCTTGGATTTGTCGGTGTGTGTGTTCGCGCTGACCTCTCCGTGCCACTCAGGGTTGGTGGTGTTGGCGATGATGGAGGAGCGTCTCTCCTGGCCATGGTGGGTGAACTTGGGGAGGCCGCTCCTCTTCCCAGGCTGGATGGACATCTTCAGGTAGGGGTCGGGGTTGAAGAACATGCCCTTCTTCAGACCCACCGCCCGGATGTCTATAGTGGAAACCTCACGTTAATAAGAATGGACTACACACCACAATTGAACAGAATCACTCCTCGCACCTGATAGGGTGAAGCTGACTAGTTTCCGACAGTGCTCAACGCCTGATTGGTCCTCCACTCGGCCTTCACTTCCCACCTGATGAGGAAACCAATAGGAGAGCAGTATGAGTGGATTATTTTTGACTACTTTAAGTGATTTCTTAGGGAGAAAAATACATGAGAGTTTGATGAATAGCTAAAAGAAGGAACATCAGAGAAGGAAAGGAATAACGGAGAGTTCAACATAACGGCTTTAAACTGTACTGACTGAACTGGAGCAAGAGTCACTTCATCTCAGTTTCTTCTGCCTCCCTGCATTCTCTATTTTTGTTTCTATGTTTGCTAAGAGGAGCCCAAAATGTTATGCAATTCAATCTAGGTGTTAAGGGGCTGCAATGAAGGGGATTTTCTTCGTAGAGCACATGTCCTGAACTGAACCCTATTATTAGCCTTCATTTTAAAACATTTGTATATACCGGTAGTAGGCAGTGGAAAATGCTTAATGCCTCACCTCATACGCACAGGCCTTATGTGTATGGAGCAAGAGTCTCCAGTAATACCATTAGCTCTTTAAGGCTGTTCTTGTTCTGAAATATTCTCACTGATCATCTGGAATCCGATTAGGCAGCAGGATTGAGCATGTGAGAGAAATTCCAATACACAGAAAAACTGGGAGAAAAGTTGTAAAGGAAGTAACATGAGAAAGAAAGGAGTAGAGAGAGAAAATAGGAGGAAAGATTGGGTAACGTACCGGTACTCCAGGGTTCTTGACAGTGATGCAAGGTGTTGTTGCTCTTAACGCTCCACTTACACCATGATAGTACTTAAAGCAGATCTTAGTCTCCGCTGTGGGGAGAACACATCAAAAAGATTACACCATCAGGATATCACGGGGATTTTTCTCTCAGACCGTTAATTGTAACTTAGGAAAACAACACCACTCACGCTCCGTGAAGTTGGGTTCCGTCTCCAGTCTCCACACTATCTGTCCTCTCTGGGTCCCATTCACTCCACGATTTTTTGAGTCCCAAACATTGGCCACGCACGTCTCGTCTGTGTAAACACAAACACATTTACATTCAGACATTTGGCAAGGTCGCAAAAAGCAACGCTCGACTTAAATGTGGAGGAGTGGTGGTTGCTTTAATGTCACGAGGCAGACGTAAAAAGGAAATACTCAGTCAAAGTAAAAAAATTGGACTCAAATACAGTAAATGTACTACTACTATGCTCCACCTCAGGCCACCACTCCATTTATGCTGTCACTGAATGTCTTTCCTGTATTTCTTTCATGTTTCTGTGTATTTTAAATGAGGTAAGGAAGCGTGTTGTTGTTAGTTATTCCAGAGGGAGACTCTGCCCTCGGGTCATAAAGCACATCCCTGTCTACTCTGAGCCTGTTCAGCCATCAAACATTTATGTGTGCGTCCCGTGACAAATGGCCGGTGTCCTAAAGGATCAATGCTGATGTCTGTCAGCCTCACATACCCTCACACCAGGTCACCGTCAATCAATCCTCAGCTTTTGTATGTGACAGTTGATAAGCTTTACACGCACGCACGCACACACACACACACACACACACACACACACACACACACACACACACACACACACACACACACACACACACACACACACACACACACACACACACACACACACACACACACACACACACACACACACACACACACACACACACACACACACACACACACACAGGTTAGATGGCCGACAGCCAGGCTGGAAACAGAGCTCATCCCTGGGGAGAAACACCCCCAGAAATCCTCCTGCTTGCGTCAATACCATCTGCAGAGAGATAGATCACCTTTCACCGGCTCTCTCTGCCTCCAGTAAAGGATTTTCCACTCTCTCTTTCACACACACACTTGGTCACCTGTGGCTTGAGATGATATAAGGCTTTGTGTGTGTTATTAACAGCTCTTTCACACCTGAGCCTGAGAACTGCTGGGCATCACAGACCAACCGTTAGCAGAGAACGGCTTTTAGCTCACAATAATCTACAAGCTACATTATCAGATTAAGACAATAGTAGCCAGTGGGAAAACATATATGGATCAATGCTATAAGGAAGAGTAATACAAAACACTTGGATGTCTAATTGGCTGTATAACCTGTGCAATATTCAACTGTGCAATACTAACTTGATTATTACACTTGCATGTACATATTGTGAGTAATATTTTTTTTATAATAACTACTAGGTGGGGAGGTGTGTTTGAGTTTCTCACCGATGTGGTACAAGCCGATCCAGTCGGTGGCGTCCACTTCCTCCTTGATGTCCCAGGAGATCACCAGGTGTGTGTGGCCTAGAGTCAGCTGGTACGTTGACGCCGTGAGTGATGAGCGGCTGTCTGATGTCACCAGGTCTGTGTCGCTATTGGCCCGCTGGAGCCCCACCGTTGGCGTTTCTGATTGGCTCCCTGGGGAAATATCGGAGGGGGAGGAGGACGAAGATTCTTCAACTGCACCCGTCGAAGACAGACCCTGGAGGTTGTCCGGACCAATGGTGTACGGTCGGGTGTGCGGGGTGCGCCGACGCACCGCCAGCAGGTGCTCCCGGGCGGTGCTGTTGCCAGGCGATGAAGGCGGGGGAGAGGAGGAGGCAGTGGCAGCCATCGCCATGGTTCCCTCAGAAGAGCGGCCGGAGAAGGGAGGAGAGGATTGGTGGCGGTGGTGATGGTGGTGGGGCTGGGGGTGAGGATGGCGGTGGTGATGATGATGATGGTGGTGGCGGGGGGAGGAAGGGGCAGAGGAGTGAGAGGGTGAGGGGGAGGATGATCGGGGGCAGGGGCGGAGGACAGCGGTTGCTAGAGAGGGCCGAATGGTGGAGGTCAGGTGGGTGAGCCAATAAGAGAAAACAGGAAGTCAGGGAGGACGAGAGACAGGAAGTAGACACTTTAGCTTAAAAGGGCATCACTAGTCCAAACGGAAGACGCTGGAGAGATGAAGAGAAGAAGAGCTGAAAAAAGATGGAGGGGTAGAGGTACCGAATGGCGATCACAAGAGAAGTATGCTGTCAAAAGCAACTTAAAAAAGAGGGTTCTGAATTCCTTGATGCACATTTCATTGGCCCTGCTGGGATTCCATTGGGCAGAGGGCTTCAGAGTTCATCATTCAAGGTCTCATGAAGCAATATGAACCATAGTTTGTCTTCTGTCTTTGATCAGTCATGAATATTACGTTTCCACCTTGAAGTCCTAACACCCTAAGAAACCTGTCCAAAGTCCTGCTCTAGGACAATATAGTTCTTTGTGAATAATCCAGCTACCCATGATGAAGGACAGTGGTAGAAGTGAGAAAATATGGATGTATTGCGATCCAAGGAATCCTTCTGCTTGTCTGTCCACAGGGAGGAGAGGGGAAGGTGAAGACCTATAGGATAAAGAGAGGAAGAAAGAGTTAGAAAGCTGGAAGAGGAGGACAAAGGGGACAGCAGCTACAACACAGATTAATAGGTATATTGCACTTCCTGGTTCATATAAATCCATATCTGCTCAACCCTTTAAAATATAACCCACACACACTTTGGTTTCCATAATGAGGGTGTTTACGTCCAAATCAGTCGTGTCACCCTATGCTTTCCTCCTTTGTATTTTTTGCCATAAAACTGGATGAATGGATGTGCACCATCCCCCGAAGCTTCTAAATTAAGCAACATGCTGCTGATAGAGATGATGTATGGGAGGTAGAACTCAATTAACCATCGAAGAGAAGACACAGGGTATATTATGGAATATCTGAAATGCCTAAATGTTGGCCACTTGGGGGCAGAGCAACATGACATAAACACTGATACGGCCCTGCCACACTGCGGCGTGCGTTCTGCCCATTCACTTCGAATGGGGTGACGTCACGCTTTGCCGAACTGCATTGTGGTTCCGTCGCTTCGCTTTGCTCGCGTTGCGTTTACGCATACGGCCCGTCCACACTACAGCTTCGACAGGTTCAAAGACGGTTTCCAACGCGTCTGCCCATTCACTTTGAATGGGGTGACGTCACGTTGCCTCGCTTTTCGCCGAACTGAATTGTGGGTAGCATAGCGGTCCGTCTCCGCCGTCTCCGGCTGCAGAAGTTGTCCGCCGTCTCCGCAACTTCTGAAGCCGGAGACGCCGGAGTAGCCAGCGTCAGCCAATCAAATCCCGTTTATGCAAATCTGACAATTCAAGCGCCAGCCAATCAAACTGCGTGCAAGCTGGGAGAGCCAGACCGCAGTTCATTTCCTCATATTCCAAACGAGAAATTACGGTAGCAAATCACCCGGTTCTTTACGACCAGAACTATTTACTGGGATACAAACCGGAGGAACCAGGCATGGAGGGAGGTGGCAGAGACAGTGGGTGAAACTGGTAGGTTTTCGCCTGTTTGGGGAGTTTATATATATGTTTTTTGCTTTGTATGCCGGGGGCGGGACATTCATGTGATTGGTTGTTGGTCGCGGTGCTCGAATAAAATCCCCAAGCTTCAGACAAGCCCAGCTCCAAGCTTTTTTTGAAGCTGTAGTGTTTTTGAAGCGGGCATCGCGAGCGAAGCGACAACAATGCAGTTCGGCAAAGCGTGACGTCAACCCATTCAAGGTGAATGGGCAGAAGCGTTGAAGCTTCAACGCACGCCGCCGTGTGGACGGGCGGTTAATGTTCAACTTTTGAAGCTTCAACGGAAGCGTCAGCCAATCAAATCATATGCAAGTACAAGCTCTTGCCAATCAAACCACGTGCTTGTGTGTCCGGGGCGGGAGATTCATATGNTAGCTTCTCTCGCGGTGCTCGCTGCAAAAGTAGAGTAATGTTCTACATTTGACGCCTCGACGGAGGCGTCAGCCAATCGAATCATATGCCAGTACAAGCTCTAGCCAATCAAACCGCGTGCTTGTGTGTCTGGGGCGGGAGATTCATGTGATTGGTTGTTGGTCGAGTTTCAGCCCCCCCCGCCGGCAAGCAACAACGCACGCCGCCGTGTGTAGGAGCCGTAACCGCTATTTATATGACGCATAGAAGCTTCAGACATTCATTCTGTCATTAAAGGATGATTCCATGTTTCTGTGTTAGGTGTCCATGCAGCGAGCTAAGGTGTGTGTGCGTTCTGTCACCTTGTCGGGGGAGAGTCACCTGAGACTGGTGAAGTCTAAAGACATGGTGCCAGAGATTGATGATCATGAGGCTGCATATCTGGACAACACAGGTAATTGTCCGGCAATGGCTCAGTCAGTAGGGGCTTGGACTGGGAGCTGTAGGGTCCCCGACCAGACCTGCTACTTGGAGAGGTCCCAGTTCACCTCCTGCCCTGCCGTGGTGCCCTTGAGCAAGGCACCGGACACCCCCCTCCCCCGGGCGCTGTACAATAGCTGTCCACTGCTCCTAGTACTAGACTCCTGGTACTAGGATGGGTTAAAAGCAGAGAACACATGTCCCTGTGTGCTGTGAGACCATTAAAGAGGGTTTCATCCCTCCCAATTCTATTCTATCTATGATAAGTAGAAAATGAAATAAAGCCAATATAAAGTGTTATCTATTTATCCACTCTTGTTATGAGTCATTACATTTCATTTCATACTGCTGGCCTCCTCTCGCCCCCAGGTAAGACCAACGTCCTGTCCAGAGAGGACTGGTGGCAGCTGCTGGTGAGCTGCGTGCAGACGATGAGCGAGGTGAAGCGCTACGAGGAGTCTGAGCTGCTGGTGGAGTCTGCCATGGAGTTCTACTCCTTCTACGACAACAAGCCGCGGAGGAAGGAGCTGGAGTTCTTCGGCCTGTCCGCCACCATCCTCGACCACAACTACTACAAAGCATACAACTACATCAGGTAGAGTCAAGTGTACAGCTCCATCAGGCAGATGTTCACATGGAGGGTTCATTGTTCAAATTGTCTTGTGTCTGTTTCCTTCTTCTCACCAGATTGATGTTGATGGAAAATCGGGATCAGCCTCAGCTTTGGAATATTTTCAACCAGGTCTGCATATACTTCAATACTGTAGACATGCCTGGGGGGGAAGTGTGGGTATTTTAAGTTAGTTACCCAAAGACACTTTGGCAAATTGACTGTTTGTGTTGGGATGGAACCACTGACCCTCTGAGTAGTAAATGCTCATTTAAATAGCAAACAATCTTCTACCTATTCCTGTTCATGTGGCTGTTTTTGTGAAATAAAACAAATGTCTAATATGTTTTTTCTCCCCATCAGCTGACTATCACCTCCCAACACCAGCGTCACCATCGCTTCTGTCTGCGCCTCCTGCTGAAGCATCCTGACAACCACGCCCTGTGTTTCCTGTGCGGTCACAACGCCATGGTCTCCGGAAGCTTCAAACATGCCCTAGGTACCATTTTATATTTAATTGATTTGTATTATATTCTACTTAAGTTCAAAATGGTTTGTTACAGCATCCTTCTCCTGATGTCCAGGTTTGTTCATTGTTGCCCATAGATTTGAATTGCTACTATAATTTAAATTAGCTTTCAGGTCTTCCACAAATCGTCCCGCTAGCCCTGTTTGTTTCTGGAGTGAGATTAGGCAGTATTTGTTTGTTTTCCATTGGTGTGATTCTCTAACACATTTTGTTTTTAGGCCAGTATGTCCAGGCCTTCCAGACTCACCCCGACACCCCCCTCCACAGCCTGTGTGTGGGCCTCACCTTCTTCCACATGGCCTCTCAGAAATATGTGGCCAAACGCCATGCGCTGGTGCTACAGGTACAGAGTCTGAATCATACTCCTTCTTTAACAGTTCCTGTACAGTGACATACTCTCCTATTAAAATGTGTGTGTTTTCAGGGTTTCTCCTTCCTGTGGCGGTATGTGGAGCTGCGGGGAGTGTGTCAGGAGAGCATGTACAACCTGGGCAGAGCGCTGCATCAGATGGGCCTCACATATCTGGCTATACATTATTATCAAAAGGCACTGGAGCTGCCTGCTCAGAAACTCGAGGTGTGTATCCATACATCACATAACTATTTATCACATAACTGCATACTATTGAGTTCTCAGTCTGCTGTAACATTGTGACTACATTTCAAAACGTCCTCTTTTTTGCTAGTTTTTGTGCACAATTCTCCAGTAGACCTCAATAACGCAACATCTTTTGCTCTTTTTGTCTCTTTTTGACCCTCCATGCAGGGTATCCCTGACGATCAGGTGGATCTGAGCAGAGAGATCGCCTTCAACCTGTCTCTCATCTACCAGGCCAGCGGGAACATGAACATGGCCCAGCAGATCATCAAAACACACTGCGTTGTCTGAAAAAAGAATAAAGATATTTATCTATCCCAGGTGGAAATTGGGTTTTCTGAAGAAATGAAAATATTTATTTACACATAAGAAAAAAGTAAATAAAAAAATGTCCAAATTGTACAAAAAGGTAAATCATACCTTTTATACAGATACACAAAATAATAAAAGTTTAAATGTATTCAGAGATTACATTTTTAATTAGAAATGTATTTATTTCTGTATTGATTCATTTATAAGCAAGGCATCTTTGTCACAAACCAGCTGTACATATGTATATAAATGCTGTCATTTCAGTTATGTTGTACATAAGGCTGTGAGATTTAAGAGTTTTTCATAGTATTGATATTTTTCTAGTTTTGGTAGCACTACTGCTAAATTAATTTAGAAAATGTCATAATTGTTCCAGTCCCATTTTAGCAAATGTCCGATTTTCTTATGAAGGATTTGATTTACGTTTGCATTATTTATAAATGTATATACAGTCCTAAAGCTTCAGTAAGAGTATAATAAAACTGCTATAACCCATCATGTAAAGAAAGTCATATTTGTTTTATAAAGAATTTCACTCCAACCAAAGACGTTTTTTTTCTTTGTATTGGCACAATGCTTCTGTGTTTTTTTTGTTGTTTTTAAATGTTTTTGTTTTCAGTGATGTGACAAAGAGTGATGGACATCCTTTTTCTTTTGTGAATGCAGGGATTAAGACTGTTGGATTATTTGCCAAATCCCTCCCTTTCCTCTCCCAAACATCTGCTACCATGATATTTTCCTCCCGGGTCACGGCACTGCATCTAGGCCAGGCCAGAGGCGGGACAGCCTACTTATGGAGGGGAGGGGCTTTCCCCAGCCACTGAATAATGTGAGCAGTACTATTGTTCAAAACGCAGTATAGATACTACTAAACGTTTTCCTTCTCAATCATAACTAGCATAAAGTACCTGTTATTATGGTAATAATCCTGTAATATCTGTCTGGATTGAGATCATATGTTAAATCAGTGGTGAAACATGTAAAGTAGCAAAACTAAACTTTGAAAATATTCAGTTACAAGTGAAGGTCCTGCATTGAAAATCGTATGGGAAGTAAATTGTAAGTATTGAAAATCGTAAGTATTGGCATCAAAAAAGAATGAACTACTTGTTAAATAATATTGATATATAATATTGGTATCCAAAATGTATTTGATTCGAAGTTTTAAGTAGCATAAAATGAAAATACTCAGTAAAAGTTCAAGTATCACATTCTAGTACAAGATATTTAATATAAAAGTATTAATATTTATGATTTTGCTTCCGTATTTTCACCGTCTGTTGTACTCAATATTATCTTAGTAATCATTAATAATATATACCTACCTTCTTTTGAAGTTAATAAATAGTGGGTTCATGATATCTACATAGTTATATAGTCATTCTGGGTGTCATGTTTAGATGGTTGGTGCTGAGAAAAGTAGAAAGTGGTTCATGGCCTTCTTAAAGGTGACATTATAATTTTTTGGTATTTTACATAATGTGTCTGAGCAATGTGTCAGAAAAAACAAGCCTTTTTTAAATAGCTATTCATCTATGTGTATGAGAATAATAATGTTGTTTTTTAATAACAGCATACATATTGTAATGGTTTCAAAATGACTTAAATACACCTGAGAATAGGATATTATGGGAGCTTTAATGGGGCACCTTGTTTATTGTGGTCCCTGTGTCTGGCGACCCCTTTAACCCGCGACCTATATCTTGGGAACCTACAAATGGGTGGTGGTGGTGGGAGGTGTTAAAGCAGTTATTTTGATGCTGAGCTGGAACGGTATGCGCTGCTAAAACAAAGTTCCTTACCAGCAGGTATAACGGTTCCATATTGTGACAACCAGAAGGCGGCTGGTTGTGTTTTCCCCGGCATGGCAGGGCGTCAGCTGCCCGGGAGCAGAGTGCGTGAAGCGGCGGAAACGGAGAGGCGGATGTGGAGAGGTCCAGCCGAATAAATAAGAGATGAACTCGTCCTTCTATGCAGCCTGGCATCATGACGGAGATTTTTTAGAGAATGAGATCGGAACTATGATTTAAAAACGGGAATTACATTATTTTGTTTGGCTTGTTTGACCAGACTGGCTACCGAGGGGCAGCGTTTCTTCGCCCGGCCTCTGGAGCTCTGGATCCCGCTTGGAAGCCGATGAAGGGTCGGTGGTGCCCGGGCCGTATGGAGGTCCTTCGCTCATAATCATTCTGCAGGGCTTGCATGCAGGTGTGGTCGTAGTCGACGCTTAACTCGGTGTAAATAAGGCAAGTGACGCGTCCTCAGATGTATGTTATAATAATAGACAGTTATGTGGTTGATTTTACACCGGGGGGTTGACTCATATGTTGCCTTTAACGACCCTCTTTCTGAACGCAAATACATTTGATCATATCTCTTTTCACCCACAAATGTGTTTACTGCTGTGTATATGGCTGATTTTTAACTGATGAAGTCATACTTTAATGTGGTATGTTGAGCGCATGAGCAACATTTAAAGGCCTGATAAAAACAACAACAAAGACAAAATTAATCTTCAGCATCATCGTAGGTTCTAAATAAAAAGGAGCTTTATGCAAAAACAAGTCAACAGTGCTTACATAGCCTACACACTGTTAAATAATGTGGGTAAATCAGATCAGAGCAGTAATCACAATTTAGATCAACCTCAGAAAAACAGCTCATCTCCTATTATCTCACTTTATAGCCCCATATGTCTGGAAGTGTAATCTGTACATACTAGTAGTGTAGTCTGGGGTTAAATATTTCAGGGAAATGATTGACAGGTCGTTATTGTGCTGAGATCAATGAGGATGTGGCTTCCTTTAGCAGATTCATGCTGAAGGAATAGCCTTAATTGACACATTTACAGTAAGTCCAGTGGCTTGGCGTAATGTAAGTAAGTGCACACTCAAGTACTGTAGTTATAAACTTCGTTTGAGTTTTTCCATTTTATTCTACTTTATACTTCTACCCCAGAACATTTATAAGCTAATATTATATTTTGTTACTCCCCTACATTAATTTGATTCACTTTAGTTACACTAGAGGTTTAAACTATAAGCCAATACAAAATAAACTAATACATGAACTATGATATATTATTAAATGTTAAGGTGTCCAGCAGCAGTATATTTTTTTCAGTTAGCTCCACATTTATGATCACATTAATACATCATTAGTCATAATCCAGTAATTGCATTTATATGGACTATAATGTGCAAAAAGTGTACTTTTGGTACAATAAGTACATTTTAATGGTAATAATTCTCAAGTAGAAAGTCGAGTACTGCTCAAAACACTTTAGGAGAAGTTGAAGCAGCATTTACATACTCCACCATCCCTCTGCTGCAGCTTGGCGTTGCATTCAAGTACAAGGGAGACTCTCAAGTGCATGAGACTATTTTAGACTACTACGCCTATTGACCAGTTATGTGATACTTCAATTATTGATGCATCGTGCCCCATGCTTTTTTGTATTAAACCAACTGAAAAGAACTTTCCTAATCTGCTCTTGGATAAAACTGCTGCCATATTGCGCTAATTAACAAATCCACATATGCTTCTTTATTGTTAGGCACATGATTTAAAAACAACCACAGCATTTCAAAGTACATCATTTCCCATCCCAGATAAAGACCCTGTAGATCTTTCTGCTTTCCTCCAGATTTTGATGTCATGTTCTATCCACAGGAAATGACTGGAGCAATAGAGGCCGAGATGCCATGACGTATGGCTGAAGCCACAAAAACACAACCATAATGCGACCAAGTCGTCTTTTTTCAATTAAAATCCAATTGTTTTAAACCCTTACTACTATTTTTTTGGGGGGGGAGTGTCTTAGTTGGTGGAGCACTGTCATGTCTTGTCAAAATGTATTTGGCACTTTCCGCACAAGTTAGAAGTGAAAGAATCTCATGAAACAAACCCACACACAAGCACTGGCACAGAGGAATGTGATGGTTGTGTTTGGGGACAGGAAGCTGTCGCCTCAGACGGGACCACCTCATTGTTCTCCAATCACGCTACAGCTATTTCAGGACTGTGTGTGTGTGTGCATTTGTACAAACCTCATCCAGATCTAAATTTAACTTAATAGACCTTTAATTTGTCTCCCATATTAAGCAACACCCAACCAGAAATCCTGTACGCTGGCAGTTAAAGGGGCGGTTTGTATTCATTTTCTCCCTGCAGATAGAGAAGTGGAGCACAACAACATTACACAACATTCTTTGGGGAAATAGGACACCTTTTTGGCATGTCTTTAGGGACAGCCTCAGCTGTAGCGCCACTACAGATTTAATTAGGCTGATTTTCTTTACATTTCGAGCTTTCCTAATGCTGCTTTTAAGCTTGCATAATTCAGTAATGTAGCACTTTCTGTACGCATAACCCAAGCCCCGCCTCACAAAGAAGAATATCAGCAGTATTTAGGTTTTAGTGCAGAGTTAGAGGGTGAAATGCTCCTCCTGTCCAGCTTACAAACATTCGGGTTTTATAGGAAACACTTGTGCATGCTATTCATCATTTATTTGCCTTAGCCTAGTTTGAGTAGTAGGAATGTTTGTGCCTGCCTGTGTTTTTACCACTGGTCGGTGTATTGATGTCAGTGCCTGGATCTTTTTTTTCACTGGCTTGTGTATATTTAGGCACATTCTCACCATGTATAAATAACCTGCAGACTTGGAGCTACTGCTGAGGGAACAATTTGACTAAATCAACCTCACACAGTACAGTGGAACACTTCAGGTGGCCCACATGGACAAATAGCAAAACAAAAGATAATTTGTGGGTAGTAGAAAACATATTTCATTTTGGAGCTCAATTATTTAATTGTATTTAAATCTTTTGGCCATGGATACAAACAAATTGGTTGGATTTTTTTATTTTATTTACTAACAAGTTCAAATATTTGTCAAGATTATGAGAAAAATAATAATGTGCTGTCCTGTTATATGAGCTGATATATTTTTTAGCATCGCCAGGGATATTCTGTAAAACATTACATTGAACATTCCAATTATCGGGGACTGAAAGAAAGAGCTTTTGCATCCTTTTCTGAACTTCAACAAGCTGCGTGTCAGATTAATGTAATATGAAAATAATTGCCCTTCTAATTTTTCCACATATGTGACAGGTGTGTAAATAGCTAACTGCTTGCTAACCAGCCATATACCATATACCAGCGCCTGTCCACACGGCGGCGTGCGCTGAAGCTTGCCGGTGGTCATGTCTGAAACTCGACCAACAACCAATCATATGAATCTCCCGCCCCGGACACACAAGCACGTGGTTTGATTGGCAAGAGCTTGTACTGGCATATGNAAATTAAATAAATAATATTTCACATCAAACAACAACAAAGTTTTAACAAATGGTATTAAATAATCTAATGACAGAACTGTAAACAGAATAGCTGAAACTAAGTTTCAGCTATTCTGTTTACAGTTCTGTCATTAGATTATTTAATACCATTTGTTAAAACTTTGTTGTTGTTTGATGTGAAATATTATTTATTTAATTTAAATAAAAAGCTATGCTAATTTTGTTCAAAATGTGTTTAGTTAATTTATTAATAATATATTTATTTTTGAATCAAGTATTCATCTTTATTGTCTTCATTGTTAGTTTCCACATGCCTAAAACAACCTCAAGCTAAATCTAAAAGTTGATGGCTAAATAAGAGCATTTGAGAAATTGTGCAAGGCAGTAATAGTCCGAATAATCCATTATCATTTCATAATCGATTATCAAATTAGTTGTTTGTTGCAGCCGTACCAAGTAGCAGTCCACACTCCATATTTAGGTCAGGTCGGAGACTTGAACCGGCGACCCTACAGCTCCCAGTTCAAGCAACTACTGTCTGAGCCACTGCCGGACAATTACCTGTGTTGTCCAGATATGCAGCCTCATGATCATCAATCTCTGGCACCATGTCTTTAGACTTCACCAGTCTCAGGTGACTCTCCCCCGACAAGGTGACAGAACGCACACACACCTTAGCTCGCTGCATGGACACCTAACACAGAAACATGGAATCATCCTTTAATGACAGAATGAATGCCTGAAGCTTCTATGCGTCATATAAATAGCGGTTACTAACAAGTGACTAAATGAGACTACACTACACAACATTAGCCGCCTTTAGCTTAGCGGTGGTGACGTGAAGATGTGTAGTTCCTTAATAGCCTAGTGTTAGCTTTTTGTTTCTGTTGATTGCTTTTACGCTTTAACTATTATAAACAGTGTTGTGTGAGTGAGTGTTACCTTCAGCAGCATGGAGATCATAGTGATCATAGCATCCAGGTAGTCCTGTGTGAGTCCCTGGGTCTTCAGCAGGGTGGAGCGATGGAGAAGCAGCTTCAATTCCTACAACCACGGCACATATAGTGATGAGAGTATACACACATACAACACACTGACAACTCAAAAATCCTGGCACTCTTTCAAATCCATAAAGTAGGGCAATGGGGGTACTTTGGATAACTTTGAGTTTTTTTGTAATAATGTATTGCCCATGAATTTAGTGATGGATCCCTGCTCATACCTTCTGTGCGGCTGAAGAGTCCTGTGCCAGAGTGTCGCTGTCGTACATGGACTCCAGAGCTTTGAGGGCGCAGTCGGGTCGGCCCAGCTGCTGCTGCAGGGTGGCCAGGGAGAGCCGCGCCTCCAGGTGCTGGGGGGCCATATCCACCACTTTAGTGTAGCTCTGTGCCGCCACCTCCATGTGGCCCAGCGCCTTCAGACACTCTGCAAAAGTGTCCAAATAGGTGATTATGATAACTACTATAATTAATAGCTAATTATATTTTATTTTTATTTCTGCCATATATGCCCCCTCCTGCATGACAGTCTACAGATTGTGTTTTGTTCACTTTGACTTTCACTTCCTGTCGGCCCCACCTGCGTGTCGGAGCCAGACGACGGCCAGGTTGTACTTCTCGGAGATGACGAGGGCGGACAGCAGAGGCAGAGCAGCCATGTACTCGCCCTCCTCCAGGTAGGCTTCAGCTACATCCAGGTACAAGTCCCCGATCTCCTCCTGACTCTGCTCCATCAGCGACGACACCAGGCCCTGAGGGGGGGGTTCGTACAGAGATAGATGGTTTTTTTGTTTGTTTATTGAACATATCAGAAACAAAACGTTTACGGCAAGTCTCCAAAAAAGTTTAAACTCAATGGTAAAAGTAAAGTTGTGTTTGCCTCCAGGGGTGTGATGACACGCAGGTGAATGAGGCAAACCATTAGCTTGGTCCTCAGGTCCACTGGGACACTGTCTGGCACTTGGACATCCCGAATTTCACCTGGGGAACAACACATCATTCTCAATAAGCGTAACAATGCACTTTGAATACAGTTAGTTTGTGATGGATTTTGTGTTAAAGAATCGTCTATCTTAATCCATTGTGGTTATATAAAGTACCCTTTGATAGTGATGACTAGTGTCTGCTCATCTCTGATAATTGCATAATAAGAAAAATAGTTACTCACCGTTCTCTTCTGCAGCTATTTCCTCTACAGTCTTCACAGTTGTTGAACATTCTTCATTCGTGTTTGCTTCTTCCTCAGTCGTCTTCTCCGCCTCCTTCTCTTCTTCCCTTGGTTCGACAACATCTGGGTTGGATTCATCCCTGACCAAAACTATAGCTGCAAACTGGACCAGCACCTAGAAGAGCACACAGAGGACTCCATTTGCTTCACTAAGAAAAAACACACCTTTTATTCCTTTGAATGACGAGCAAACTGTTTATTCACTGAACACACACACACACACCCGCAGGGCCTTGTTGTACTGCCGGTTGGAGATGAAGAGCTCGGCGGCCATGTTGATGAAGTCATCGCTGACCAGGTCGGGGTGTCGCGCAAGAGCTTCCTCAATTACCCCCAGAGCTGAGGGCAAGTCATTACTCTCATAGTAGCTCCTAAACAACACACACACACACACAAAGATGTTGCTAAACCTACAACCTTATGACACTTTATTAAGGAAATACTGTGATAGTGGATGTGGTTTGTCTCTCAGTGTGTGTTCTGTACTTGGCCATGTCCTTGGAGAGCTGCATGAAGTGCTCCCCGTCCTCCATGGGCAGCAGGGACAGGATCTTGCGGTATCCGTCCATGCACTGTTTGTGTTCGCCCAGGCGCATGTGCAGGCTGGAGCGCTCCCACACGTAGCGCACGTTGGTGGGGTCATATTTAATAGCTGCAGAGGACAAGAGTGAACGGAGAACATTGATATTGACAGTAGGGCAGTACAATCACTCAATATTGCATTCTTTAATTGTTAAAAAACTTAGGTGAAAGAGTTATAGCTGTGCTAACCCAGAGATAGTGAAGCAAAACACAATGATCCAATAAGTGGTGCGTGTTAGGTGTGGATTGATTCAAAAGACCATGATGAGAACAGCCTATTCAAATGTGTGGCAAAAGTACTCCTAGAGCCCCTTGCTAGACAAAGAATACACCATGGTTCTTCTCATGTTTGAATCTGAAGCCACTGACCCTTCGAGTAGCAGACGATGGCCTGTCGGATGTTGTCCTGCTCCAGAGACATTTCGGCCAGTCTGACCCACTCCTCGCAGTCTGAGGGGTTGAGATGGGCCGTGATCAGACCGAACTGCAGCGCCTTCTCCATGTCCTCCTCATCCTCGTAGATCATGGCCAAGGTGGAGAAGGGCTCATAGGCCAGAGGAGCTGCAAGAGAGAGAGATTCAGGATTGGAGAAATATAAAAAAGAATAGCTAAAAGAAAACAACATACAAGTGGTCTCATACCCTGTCGTATGATCTCCATGCACATCAGGATGGCGTCCTCTTTCTCTCCTCGGGCGTAGCGGATGTTGGCCTCTCCCATCAGGCCTCTCAGAGCTCTGGGCAGCTTGCTGCGATGACGCCGCTCCTACACACACACATTAAGTTGAACACTTGCACACATTCAAAGTTTGGAAACACACCTTCCAACTCTCGTCCTCACCTTCATCATCTTCTTGTTTTCTCGGTTCAGCTCCATCTCTAGGGCAAACACATCCCCCACTGCCACGTCTTCGTCCTCATCCATCGCTCTCTTCTTCTTCTTCTTCTTCCTGCCTTTTTGTCTTCTTTCTATTGTCACCCCTGGCCCCTTCTCTGCCTCCTTTACCTCTGCCGCCTCCTCTATGTCCATCTCCATCTTCCCCCCCTCATCTTTCTCCACCTTGTAATCCTGATCTTCTTCATCATCCACGTAGCTCAGGCTGTCCTCCTCCTCTTCCTCCTCCTCCTCTTCCTCCTCCTCCTCCGGCTCTTCTGAAGATGCTGGTTCTGGCTTTTCTTCCAGCATGGAGGCGAAGGCCAGCTGGACCCCCGGGCTGACCCCCTCCTCTGTGAAGCGATGTGATCAACAGTAATAAATATAACAGATACAATTTTAGTTGTATTCTTTTGTTGATTATTATTTTTGGAAAATCATTTATGGCGTACTTCATTGTTTGAGTTTGTTAAAGCTTTCAATGTTTTTCAGAAACAATATATAATTGAAACAATAACACTGTAAAGTAAAAACTGTTATGAGACAGTTTTACCTATCTTTCCCGGGATAATGGAGGAGGTGGAAGGCTGAGCCTCCTCCTCGACACCTGCAGGTCCCTCCGACTCCTTAGAGAGGAAAACATATATTTACCTTCACCGTTTGAGCAACGTAACAGTCAAAATAAAAATCAAGCATGGAAGTATTTTCGTAGTAAATTATTATCAATTACATGTAAAGGGGCATACTGAGTTAGCTAGCTTGTTATGCTAACTTAGCTCTACTTTTGAGTGCTGCGGCTCTCCTTACCTTTGCTTTCCGCTCATCTCTCCGCTTGTCGAACTCCTCAAAACTTATCCTCCCCTCCAGGTAGTCTATGAGCTCCGCGCTGAACCCAGACATGTCTGTCTGCTGAAGACCCAGGAGATTCTTCTTTATCAAAATGTGTCCTGTAACATCCTAACTAACTCTCTATACAGCCATACTTGCTACTGACTGAAGTAAACACAAATCGCCCGGATGTTACATAGTCACGTGACCTGCAGAAACTTCCGGTATAGCGTGTCTTAAAGCACCACAGAAGAAGAAAGGTGTTTCTGGCGACCTTCAGCGGTGAAAGTAGGAAAGTACAAAACACTATTTTCTGAGCTTCAATTTAGCCTAATTACTGAAACTACAAATATTTAAATATATGTATTGTTACTTTATAAAAACTAAAACGGGGTTTTGGCATTGAAAAGTGAAGGAGTGGATACATTTGGATGATATTTAAGTGATACAAACTCATACAGAGGCTCATCTGAATTAGCTGAAGTCTAATCGATTAGTCATTGTCTTTCTTGAGTTTGCTTCTGGTTATAATAAATAAATAACATGTTTAATATGCACATAACGTTCCATAAAGTAGGAACTTAATGTGCATAAAGCAAACACAACTGCAGAGCTCTTATACTGTACAGTGAACAGATTTACAAAGGGACACTTTACATGTTCTTGTTTTGTCAAACCAACAGTCCAAAATCTAAAGACACCCAATATAATTATATATATATATACAAATACAAAGAAAAGCTGAATATTCTCACATTTGAGATGCTTAAGCTAGCAAACATTTAAATACAGTTAATTAAACAATGAAAAAAATGTATTGACTAATCAATACATCTAATATTTTTAACAAATGAAAAGTTATATTCTAGGTACATTTTACTAATAACGCTTAGCCTACTGTATGCTTTTATATCATATTGATATAATATCTAATCAATGTAATTTAAGCAGCATATGGTATGTTTAGCGCATGTTTTGGCTTCTGTATTTGTTGTTCTACTGAAGAAAATTACAAATTATTTTACTATATGAAAGTGTAGCCCAAGCGTGAAATTTTGATATGACATGTTTGTTTTGTTATGAACAGGAGGGAGATTTACGTCAAAGCATATCTGCTTTTCCATTTCCCCCGAATCTATAACAGTAAGGCAGCGGCTGCTGTTCATTCAACAGGATCCTGCTGCTGACGTATGCTGCATTCTCCTTTTATCTCCCCTGTAAGAAACAGAGGGAACACAGAGGGATGGAGAGGAAGTGTGATGAAGGACGGTTTTATCAGTTGATGCTCCTCCTACTTATTTCCCAGTGTCCTTCCAATGTGTACCTGCTGCCTTTCCTCATCAACTTTAATTATGTCAGTGTGCTGGATGATGTTCCAACTTCGAGATGAATGCACCTGAAGGTAAGTAAACTTCATTATCCACAAATAATGACTATTTCCTGGGGATTTTGGGTATGAAAGCCTTTTTAGTTTATAATCTCTAAGGGACTGAGTTAAAATAATTGCAGGGTCACACGTATACGTTTGTTTTTTTGTATGTCTGATTTTTCAGGTACGGCCCTTTAATTTCGTCATGCAACAGATTTATATTTTATTTATCTGTATCTCTTGAGATTTACTCGCTAATCCCTTTTACACATATTTGTAAAAACATGCCTTGTCATAGATGCATAATATTTTCAAAATGATGATCGTTCAGCAAAAAATTATTAGGAATGCATTAGAGTCCCCCAACCCACAACAATAATGTGTAGTACTGTAACTTCAGCCCTGTTATATTTTGTGCCTTTTCACTGCAAATGTATCTTTTACAATCCATGTGTTTTAATGAAGCAACAGGGAAGCAGTTTGAATCAATATCAGTGTGTAAACAGTGAACACTTGTTTGGGTGCGCGTGTCGATGTTTTTGTCCCTTATCAGGAACAATTCTTCCCTCTCAGTTGTTCAGCACAAAGGCTGCAGACTGAGCTTCATAACAACCTCTCTCCTCTCATATCTCCTTCTTCTCTTCAAAATAATGTAGTGTGTACTCAGTGTTAAAACTATATACATCTCTCAGTATAGGACAAATTAAGTGGAAGATTTGAACACCTTGTTCACCACCGCCGGCTGAATGGTACAGTTGAAGGCTTCCCATGACTGAGTCTCCGCCTCCTCCCCATAATGAATGCGACCCCCGGCAGTTGCTCGGCAGAGATGCCGTACGGGTTCCTGCCCCGTCTGAAGGGCCTCTACATCGCAACTGAGCTCATCATCGCTGTGCTCGCCATCATCGGAAACTTCCTCGTGTGTCTGGCTGTCAGCTGGAACAAGAGACTTCACACGGTCACCAATTACTTCCTGGTGAGGAAATACAGTCCTGCAGTCTGTTTCATCCCCATCTAAAATGTTGGATCTCAACATTCAAACCTGTGATTTAGGAAAACTGCAAGAAGTCCAGGGCTAAATATCTATATGTATCTAGATAAATAAATAACTGTTTGGATGTGTTCCAGTCAGGCTTTCGTCCAAACCACAGCACTGAGACTGCTCTTGTAAAGGTCTTCAATGACATCCACTTAAACACAGACAGTGGCAGAACTTCAGTGTTAATATTATTAGATCTCAGTGCTGCGTTTGACACTGTTGACCACAACATATTACTAGACCGACTAGAAAACTGGGTGGGACTTTCGGCAACAGTTCTAAATTGGTTTGAATCCTACTTAAAGGACAGGAAAAACTTTGTTTCTATAGGTAAATACACATCTGAGTTGACAAATATGACATGTGGGGTTCCTCAAGGCTCCATCTTGGGGCCTCTTCTCTTTAACGTCTACATGCTACCACTGGCTCAGATAATGAAAAACAATAAAATAAGTTACTATAGCTATGCAGATGACACACACATTTACGTAACTATTTCACCAGGAGACTATTCTCCAATTCAAACACTGAGTAAGTGCATTGAACAAATCAATGACTGGATGTGTCAGAACTTTCTCCAGTTAAACAAAGATAAAACTGAGGTAATGGTTTTTGGAGCCAAGGCAGAACGTATAAAAGTTAGCGCTGAGCTTCAGTCTGCAATGTTCAAAACAACAGATAAAGCCAGAAATCTAGGTGTAGTCATGGACTCTGACCTGAGTTTCAACAGTCACATTAAAACAGTTACTAAATCAGCCAACTATCACCTAAAGAACATATCCAGGATTAAAAGACTAATGTCACAGCGGGATTTGGAAAAACTTGTCCATGCTTTTATCTTCAGTAGACTGGACTACTGTAATGGTGTCTTCACAGATCTCACTAAAAAATCTATTAGAAAGCTGCAGCTGATTCAGAACGCCGCTGCTCGAGTCCTCACTAACACTAAGAAAGTGGATCGCATCACTCCTGTTCTGAAGTCTTTACACTAGCTTCCTGTGTGTCAAAGAATAGATTTCAAAATACTGCTGCTGGTTTATAAAGCACTGAATTGTTTAGGCCCAAAATACATTTCTGACCTCCTGCTAAATTATGAACCATCCAGATCTCTCAGGTCTTCAGGGACAGGTCAGCTTTCTGTCCCCAGAGTCAGAACTAAACATGGTAAAGCAGCATTTATTTATTATGCTCCAAATATCTGGAACAAACTCCAAGAAAACTGCAGGTCCGCTGCAACTCTGACTACTTTTACAATCCGCTAAACTTTTTTTTTGCCATCGCCTGACTTGGTTAATTGACAAGCGAGGCCGTGTGTGTTCATCATAAGTTGGTACTTCGCTGTGCTGACTTTCATATCTTAAACTGCGCCACTGTAGCCTTTTTATTCATGTAATTGTTTATTCATGCACTTTTGTATTCATGTATTTTTTTCTTTTAATGTTTATTTATTATCTTTATTTTAAATGCCCTTGTCTGATGATTTCATTTGTTGTAAAGCACCTTGGAATTGGCCTTGTGTTGAAAGCGTTGAAAGGCTGCTTATGTATAGAATAAACTTGCCTGCCTTGCCTTCATGATATAACACCTTCTTATTGGCTTAAAAAATCCGATTCGAACTTTGTGTTGGACATTTCTGAGAAAAAGGGCCCAATAAATACTTTGATTAAATGCTTGAAAATGAATGCCTTAAAAACAATATTATTCTTTATGGGGCACTTTATGAACACACTAAAAAATAGGAAATGGGAAAATATTTTTAGCTCAACTGTTTTTTACATTATATTGTGTATTTTATGTAATATGTAGTTATTTTATAATAAGCTATATGTTGTGTATATATATATCCAGTAGTATATATATATATTTGGCTGACATGTTCTCTAATTATTTATTAACTTATCAAGATGAACACTATCTTCTGACTAGCCACCTTCGTTGCCTGTTCGTCCGAACGTTAAATCTTTTTTTTTTTTTTTTTTTTAATTGCTCACGGTTTTATAAGATTTTTATGTTTTTTTTTTTAAGTTGTATTTAGGCTAAAATATTTAATAAAGTTAATATACGTTTGAAATATATAAAAAATATGCAAAATTAAAGTTATAAATAGTATGAACAATAATAGTTAGTATCTTACATGTTTATGGTTTTAGCTGTTGAAATAAGTTGATGATCTTTCAAATCCAAAACTCTCTGTGATGTACAGGCATACCCGAAATGTATGAAATCTCTATGCTTAATTGTTCACACCTACTTGTGTTAATTGAGCTTTCAATAAATTGGTTTTTTGAAAGGAAGTATTTATGTTAAGTTTCTTGTCCTGCTACAATATAATTGTAGAAGACTTTTCTTGCAATATGCTATCTGCGATCAAGCCATATTTGTTTTTTATAACAACTTAAAATTCATGGTACTTCACAAAATACTTGTGGTGTATATTGTCCTCTGTTACATGGATT